GGAAAATTTTGCGTTAAGTTTGGTTGCTTGTATTCGGAGTTTTCTGAAAATTTCCGTCCTGTTCATTATAACAGTAGTTATTTTCGTCTAATTGATGTATTTGATCGGAAAATTCTTGTGTATCATAATTTGTGTCGTAGGTGTATTGTTCTTCAAGGATGGGATTCGTGATAATAAAAATCATAAGGATTTTCACTTTCAAAATTTGATATTTCGTTGTTTGAATTAGCTTGGGGGGTTGCGGATTGATTGTCAATCTCTTTTGCTAGATAGTAATTTTTATTTGGTTGAATTTGATTTATACGGGTATTGCCTGATGAAGTATCCATAGGTTCAGGTTTGTTAAATTTTGGGGTTGGATTTTGGTTATATTGATTAAACATCGGTCTTGTAATTGGATGCATAGGTCTTTGCATAAATGGGTAAGGTCTTGGATTAAATTGATGTCTTTGGATCATCGGGTTAATTCTTTGAATATTCGGGAAGTTTTGTCTTTGATTATTTTGGAAATTTGGTCTTGGAATATTCTGAAAATAAGGTCTTGTTTGGAAATTATTTTGAAATCTCGGGGGGTTAAAATTATTAAAACTTGGTCGAATTGTTGGCGGTTGAAATGGGCTAGTAAAATTTTGTGGAGCTAATGGGTAATTAACTAATTGAAGATTCACCGTATCCGGCATTGTGTTTAAATTAATGTCAGAATCGGAATCGGAATCAGATGATGTATTAAAATTATCGACAGAAGCTACTCTAGGTTTTAACTCTAATGTTTCAAAACGAGAAATTAATCTTTCCAGTTTGAATCAGAAAAATATTTACAAAAGAAAAACTTACATTAACAGTGAGAGAACGACGATTTTCATTCCTGGTTGTTTCGTTTCTTAATCTAGTTTTCCAATAGGATGAGCGATGCTTGTCTCTTCCCTGGGCTACGTATGAAATTCGGACGATTTTTGTTCCTTATTTCGCACCAATAGGGTTGTGGACGATGCTTGTTCCTTCCCCTGGCCAATTGAGCACTTTGCACCCACTTGAACAGTTTTTTGTGTTGTTCGGATTTCGCGAATAAACTCTTGAGAGAGACCAAACAGTGTCGATTTTGGAATGCTTGTTTCACGGAAATCCTACCGGCTGCGCCAGTTTTCGTCGTGGAAAACGAATTTGATTTTTTAAAAAACTTTATTCAAGCGAGATGACAAAAAAGCTAGCGATGTGGTTCGCACCGTGGTTTTATATAGACAAATTGCTGACACTTTGAGAAACAAGTAATATAATATGTATGAGAACCTTTACTCAGCAGTTTACAGTATCAAAGCGTTTATAACTATGCTACGTGAAATTTGACGCGGAATTGTATTTTAGACAAAATCGCGTACCTTTTAAAAAACGGACTTGGTATCAACATTTACGTTTGTAACACACTCTGTATGCTTTCTATTTACTGCAAAAAATGCGCAAGAAAAAATTGTGGTGGACGTGTGCCGACCATTTTTCTTGAAATCCAATCCTGATTTTTAAATGAATTGGTTCCATATATTTTCTCAGTATACTATACCATAAGATATAACCGACCAAACTACTCCAAAATATTGTAAATTAAGAGTCTTATTTTACATCGTATCACGAATATTCTTAATTAAGACTAGCCTTTTGCTTAAATACAACGCTTTCAACGTGGTATGCCAAATTAGTTTTTGACAGAAAAGACGCCAAGACTGTCTTATCTTAAGCCTAAATCAAAAAACACTGTAATTTAGTGTTTGTCTTTTTTAAATATATTTTTAATTTTTTATTATTTACTTCACTTTTGATGGTAGTTTATTATACAAACACAGGTTTGACCTTTTTTTTTGGTATTTAGTACACTTAAATCTCTTTTTGCAGAGGGAGTCAATTGACATAATTTTCAATCTTTTAAAGATAGGCTTACAATGTTCTAGATAACCTGCACACGCTAAATTCGAACTACCTTCTTTTGAGGTTTAAAAACCCGATTAGCTGCAGAAAACTTACCCTACTGAACAACACCGTTAGGTATGAATAAAAGAGATGTAATGTAATGTAATGTAATCATTAATGTTTCCATAGCGATTAATTTTTTTAATTCGCGAACTAGAAAAATACTAGATGACAGTGTTTTACACAACGAATTGCCCAGCCCAAACTATTATCTATTGTGATCCACACTAGCACCCATCACCAAGCCATTATTTGTTGAGAACACCAGGTGTGTTGTTGGAGAAGCATAACTCAGCACTATCTTCTACTTGTTTTATATGCTCTATTGACATAAACTGACCATAAGAGTTCGATATACAGGGATCCTCTACACCTGTGTCATAATAAGTATTATCATATGTTTGTTAAAATATTATCAATACAAGTAGGGTTGCGGTAGTAACCCTTGTGCTGTTATGTATTGTAACTTCAATGCTAAAGCTTTCCAAAATATACAAAAACTCAGACAAACCGCCAGACCTGCAAAAGTTAATGTTAAAATCACCATGAAATTAATTTTTTAAATTACGTACAGTACCAACCGAAATTGGGTAAAAAATGGCTGCAAATTTCCTAAACAAGATCGAAAAACACAAATAACCACAATATGATGAGAGACGATCTCAAGCGCACAGAATTCCGCGCCGATCTCTATGCAATATCTATAGTCGGTACGATTTGTGATAGCATAATCGGCAATAAAATGCCAGACAGACTAATATAATTGTTCATATTTCAAGAGATGTTCTTTCGCCCTAAATGTCTATGTGATCAATGCAACACAGCCGTCACTAACGATCACGATTATATTACTAGAGTACTAGAGTACTAGAGTAAGAGTACTAGAGTACTAGAGTACTAGAGTAAGAGTACCAGAGTACTAGAGTAAGAGAGACAGAATTAGTTCTACTTGGAATTATTTGATTAGTTCGCCCATACTCAGATATGGATTCATGCATTTCCTATGTAATAATAGACCAGGGTCTTCCTTAATGATATGCGACTATTTAACAAGGTGAATCTACATGTAAAATTATGATAATTTTTTAAATAAGTGTATTAAATTAAGTGTATTCTCTTTTTCCCAGTTTTCTTTTATTATATTTTCTGTATGCGTTACACAATTCGGCAATCTATGGCACGCGTTCAGCTAGGCGGCACAATTTAGGTTATTTGGTGGAACGGCAAAGTAACTAACAATTATGACAAATTTTCAGCAGTTTTCATTTTTTTTTAAATGTTTATATTTTGCGCCGCCCAGAAATTCAAAAAATTCCGTCTCTAAAATGCCATCAAAATGCCATTCAATTCCTGTACGCACATCCTTAAAAAATAATAAAAAAAAATTGCATAAAAATCAAAATTATACCGCCCCCCTTCCAATGGCGGCACGTACTGTAGTCTTGAAGACCAAAATTTAAAAAAGTCGCACATTCTGAAACGGCTGCCGACGGCTGGACTATGCCATGGAAAATCGTACCGACTATACCAATAACTACAGGCCTGCACTTCACCTCCGACGGGAGTACATGCACAAGCCACCATGTATATTTTTGGATCTAAAAATATACAGGTTCGAATATTACTATTAATTATCCAGTGTTCACTAAAACAGGGAATGTCGCAATTATTGTTGATTTCTAAAAATACGTTAAGATCAATCATTTTCATCATCATACGGGGGCACTTGACGAGTTTCCGATCTAAAAATGATTTTCGTCAATTTTGTTTTTATTTTTCTACGTAGTCTCTTTGTAACGCTATACATTTCTCGTAACGATGCTCCCATCTCTCTAACTGGTCCAAATAGTACCCAGCGTTTTTCTCCCCAAAATAAATGTGATAAAGGTGATTGACGAAAATCTTTGTCCTCCGAGCTCAATTTTCAGGCGAGGAACAAAAAGAAGTCGCGGGTGGCCCGATCTGATGAGCAAGGTGGATGGTCAAGCAGTTCAAACCGTAATTCGTGAATTTTCGGTAAGGCAACTGCTGAGGTATGAGAGGCGCGTTGTCTTGGTGAAACAGATTTTTTTTGAGAGTTCACTTCTACATAAAACTTAGGAAAAAGGCACAAGTAAATTGCAGGTTGATACAAAAGTAAGAACTAAAAGTAACAGCCTAGGCTGCAATCTCACAAGCTAAGGAGAGAAAAATAAATAGCTAATGTAAGCTATGTTATCTTATGCTTGCTTGAATCTGATTACTAAACCCACCTTCAGTAGCGAAAAATTGCAAATGCTTATTCTCATTGGCCAGTCGGGCAGCCTTTGCGATGAATGTATTACGTCCATAGTTGGTACGAAACAAAAAATATGCTATTTAGACGCGTTATTCGTATTGGTGCCAAAAACCCAATTTTTGACAGAATGGAGGGAGAAAAACACAACTGAAATTAATAAATTTGAAAAGCAACATCATCAGGACGAGCTTTAAGCATTTTCAAATCTAATGAGTTTTCAAGGGCCACATAATCGAAGGTAGCCAAGTCGACACCCAACTTAAAAGCTATATTTTTTTTTCGGGCGTATAATGGTGTGTCCAATTTTCATCTACAATACCTAATCGGCGCCAAAACTCTTGGTCTAACGTGAGTAAACGTATCACCCAACGCACAGACAGCCTAAATCTTTATATGACGAACTTGTTTTTCGGTCATTTTCATAACTTGTGCTATTTCTCCCACTTTAATTTTGCGGTCGATTAACGCCATTTGCAGTATTATCGTCGGTAGTTACAGTTTTTGGATGCCCCGAACTCAAACGACTCTCGATTAAAAACCACTCGTCCAAAATGGCTGAAACTTTGGTGAGTAAGCATCAAGAGGTGCGCAACGACGATCAATAGTTGGTGCCGCCATCTTCAGAACGAATCGGAATCTTTTCAAGTGACCCTCGTATTTTGAATATTATTTTATTACGTCCAAAGAAAAAAATGCGCAGACAATAGCATCGCTCCCCACCGAAAAAACATTAATCCGGCCGTTTCTATATCTCCCTATCTAGAATACGAAACGCAATCCCACGTATTCGACGCCACTTTCACGATCAAAACCAGCTCGCGACAGTATCGGCGGCGTGCTGGTTAATTTCGAAAAAAATGCGGGACGCCAAATGAAAGTGAACTGCAACTATAATTTGCGATGCGATATGTCGTTCGATAGGATCATTACTGGGAGAAGTTAAAGAAGAATGGCTACCGCGCAGGAGTATTACGTCAACGGTTCGAAATGTGACGGGTTGGATATGCCAACGTTCCGGGAATACCTTGCCGGTAAGCTCAGTTACTGACTTATTTGGTTTAGTCGAAAATTAAAACCATACCGCAAATAATATGTTGCGGATCCACTCATTTTTTTTTAATAGTTTGTGTGGAGCGATAGAGATTTTTCGTTTTTGATTTGCTTCGATTGTCTTAATTTTTGCGGGAGATGCGGTTACTTTAAAACACGGGTTGTGGTTCTGGTTTCCGCTACGGCTTACGTTTAAAATCGACGCATTTTCCAAAATGCAATTTATATATGGAAAGAAAGACTTCTGGGTATAAAAATGGAAATTTTTTTGGAGGTCAGACCCATTAACAGCAAATCAAGTATGTGTGCGATAACGTGGTCCAGTCTTCGTTGTGGAATGATTATTAAAGTTAACTAGCAAGGTGCGTTTTAGTTATTAAAAACTGGATTCAACATTTTTGCTCTTAATAACAACCACAAAAAGTTAAATATGTCAATAAATTCCCCGTTTTCGAGAAACAAGAAAATTGAATAATGTAAATTCATAAGTTTTATAAGAACAGTATCACTGAGTGTTCGAAGTGTTTTCGGTTTGCGGAGTGATATGCATATATATATATATATATATATATATATATATATATATATATATATATATATATATATATATATATATATATATATATATATATATATATATATATATATATTCCGGGATACCATCCGTTCGTTTTTGAACTCCGACAAGAATCGTGGAGACGTTTCGTGTTGTTTTGCGAAAATGTATCCAAAAATTAACGGGCGTAGAAAAATCATAGTATGCAACACGTTCGGTAAACTTTTTAAGTCACTTGTTAAACACTGGATCAACTGCGCTCCTTATTGGTCTTTGAAAATTCGCTTTGATTTTCAAAAGGCCCTATATAAATATATGTAATGGATTGACTTCGGAGCGATTCGCTGTACATCGTACAACCCCTCTACTGCCGATCTAAATACGGAATCTTTCGTTCTGATTGTTTGTTTCATTTCAATTCATTTCAATATCTTCCAAAAGCAATTCGATTTCATTTTATATCACTATAATAGTACCTACAATTTTATTATATATCATGACACACCAAACATGAAAAGAGGTTCATCCTTGAATTATAACCAGTTAATGTTTCCTAAGGTTTTCTGTAGCATGTAGTGGTTTGACCGCAGTTCCAGTGAATTGTTTAGATGAGTAGCCAAGAGAGTAAGATTAGCCATGATGATACCCAATCTCCGCTAGGAATGGCACCAGAAGAAGAAGAAGAAGATTTGGCCATAAGTATGGTACAAAATATAAACACGCATACTGTACATAGGCAGATATATTTTTTTAGTTCCAAATACTACAAAAAAAATTATAAAATCTTTAAAATCAGACAAGACAAGAGAGACAACATACAATTTTACAAGTTCTGACAGAAAAAAATGTATCGTTGTATAAAAATGTCTTAAGGTGTTTTTCGAATTTTTCAATTTGAAAAATTGGTTAATTGATTAAAATATTCATGACTATGTTTCTGAATACAGAATTTGTTTTTTCTTGTGGTATATTTTTGAAATGCTCCGTCCACTTTAAACATCGTATTGTTCTTGTGAATGTTACGGTCAGTATTTTGTGTTTTTTAAATGTTCCCTTAGTTGTAGTTCTATGCCAAGCCAACCGACGTCGCTGACCTATCCCCAGACAAGAATATTATAGACAATTGAGAGTTTTTTTTAAAGAACTTGAAGTAACTAAATGTTTATTAAGTTCAAAAAAACACAGAAAAATCCATAATATTTCGTGCTCAGTTTCTAATTTTTCTGTAACAGTCAGTTTTTAATAGTTATGAGTACTATAAGAAGTGCAAAACAATAAGCAATAAAACTTTATCTGTACAACGCTAATCTAACGTTCATCAACATTATTTATCTTTACCATTTACGATATTCATTATTAAGCCATTGTCGCATATGCCGAAAGCACCTAACACGCAAATCCTTTCCCAATATTTGTTTTGATATTTATAATGTTGCGCAGAAAACAGGTTCTATCATTTAATAATGATTAATAAAAATAAATTGGATTGTAAGGTTATATGGAGCACGCCAGTTCCGTTAACTAACCGATACATAGACATTTCAATAGTTTGAAAAGATGGCAACAACAAAAACGTTTCGACAAAAAAAATTCTGCATATTCGCTTTCTTAATGTAAAAGGCAATTCTGCATGTTTTACCAATTACCTACCAACGTATTGAAAATAACTGGTTTTAAGCTAAAGCAGACTTTCACCAATCAAAACCCGGCTAAATTCAACGATTTTCACCAAGTAACCTAAATATTGAATATAAATATAGGGTGATACACCTTTAATAAATAAATACATTTGCAGTGATGCCGCTTTTTCGACACAGTACCCTTAACTTCGATATTTTAGGTGGAATACCGTGTATATTATTGGCTTTTTCGTTCCGCCATTAATTTCCGATTATTTTTATGTGCCTTTAGTGGTTTTCGAGAAATTATTTTTCCTATTTGTTGCTCAAAATATAGGGTCCAATTAAATCTTTATTACAGCCAATTTGAATTCATGGAAAGCTGGCTATAGTTGGCGAATGTCTCATGAGAACAAAAATAAGGAAAATTATATTTTTTCAAATTCAACTATTTAGATGATATGATTTTAGATGAGATGATTAAAGACGAATAAAAGCAAGGTAAATTCAATTGAGAGTTTTCAAAATATTAATAACAGAGGGATATTTTTACTCGAATGAGGCCTTGATATATTTTTTTTATTTTTTAGTGATTTAGAGACAACAAACTTGACGAATAACTGCATTAATTATGGACTAAAACCGAAATCAATATGAGATTTACTAAAACCTGTAACGTCTAACGAACAGAACATAATAATATTTTAACGCTTATCCCCAGGCTTCCACTACAATTGCAGGAAAATAATCCTTCGTAAACGTAAACAAATTTACGTCCTTAAATAGGACGATGGTCAATTCAATTTTGTGATACGGTTCTAATCCTTAGCCAAGAAGATCCTATTTTAAAGATATTATCCGGACAAAGACCGATCAAAACCCGAATGGCCTACCAAGAAAAATGTTCAATGTTTTTTGTCTTCTCAAAAACGATAAAAATAAGTTTGCTTATGCAAATTTTACGATCGGTGGTAAGAACTGTTGTTACAAGAATATCTCACATGTTAATTTCAACTGGATGGGACACCGCCTCATTACAGTGAGTAAATAACAGCGGAGTTGCGCCCGCGAGATCACCCGATCTTACATCTTTCGATTTTTATTTGTAGGGTAATTTACAAAGAAACGAGAACGAAACAGCTGTAAAAACTGTGAAAACAGTTGCAATCAAGAAACAAGGCGTGAGATAAAGAGCGTCTCAACTGTTTCTATGTTTTATTTTCTACCATGTACATATTTCTTATTATCTACTAAATGCTATTTTGTAGTATGTTCAAACATCTTTTCGTTCATTGGTTGTGAATCAGAATACATTTCATTAAACTTTCCCCATGTTCTTGCTTTATTTTGCCACACTGCTGGTGGGAAATAAACAAATTCATCAAAACTTTATATGTCGCTGATAAACAATGTGGTTTTACCGTCCTTATTCCTTTTATATATAAGAAAATTAATACAAAGCTCTAAGTGGGATTTTGGTTCAATTATAATATGGTCCCCCACTTATAACCAATATAATCAATATGTGGGAAAGGACGGTATTTAGGTTCAACAGCACCATATCTCACTAGGTTTGAAGAGTTGCCCTTGACTGTGCGTCGTAACTTACAGTGTCTATTGTTTCTCCACAAACTCAACAACTCAACAAGATTATCCTTATCCTTAAATATGTTCCAATTACAATCGTAGAAGTGCATCTGTTACAAAACTTGCGCAATCTGTATCGTTGGCCTTTTCAGCTTTAGTTTTTTGTTTTAATTTTGTTAGCATCAGTTTTAGTTTTCCTTTTTACATCACCAACTTGATTTACTAGTTTAAATTTCTTTTTATTGGACTATTGACACCGCATTGCACATTGTGAGCGCCCTTGCGTATTACAGAGTGGATTTGTCTACATAAAATTATTGCGCGAGACCAGCTTAAACTATAGCCAAAAATTTCCGCTCTCTACGAATAAATTAAATTAATTATTAATTAAATTAAATATTAATTGTAATTCAGATTAAATTAGCGCAAAAAATACCTTTTCGAAAACGGTTAAAGAAACGCTTCGGGGGTATTAAACAAAAATAACCAGAAATTGATGACGAAACGGAGTGTTCAATAATATACAGGCTGTCCCATTTAAAATATCAAAGTTGACGCTACTTTTTCGAAGAAGGGGCAACATCGCATCACTGAAACCATATTACAGCGTCCCAATTAACGTGCACTGTGAACATAAGATTTTTTTGGTAGGGAACTTTTATTAAATGTAGCATTTCGAGTGCATTTTAATTTCAATTAATGATTCTTACGACACACTTTGTGAATGCTCACGCCCATACGAATTGTCTAACTAACCAAAACTTTCACTAGCCGTATATATACAGGGTGTCCCACGACCTGACTGACACAGCTTGGGAGTGCGTTGCGTTACATACGACAAACTCGGAAACCCATTTTCAAGACAGATTTTCCAATATTCCAATATTACTGGATGATATTCCTCTTAATATCAGACAACGAATGTGGATTTAGTACGATGGCGCACTTTGGTCGACAAGACAAGAAGAATTTCTTTATCAAAATTATACAAAAAGGTGAAACTTGTAGCTAGAATTATGGATGGCCGCACAAACTATTTGTGCTAATCTTGAGACTGTTAGCAGAGCTACCACTTCAATTCTAAGAAGAGCTAAACTATGTATACAGCAATTGGGTAGAAATTTAGAACAACTAATTCAACAAAATAAAATATAAATAAATAAAAAATAAAGATTTTTTTTTTAAATGGTCTTTAACATTTCAAATGCTTGTAACTCAGAATAGCGTTCCGGGTATATGTTCATGTAACATTTTTAACTTGAAATCACCCTAGCCCAAGCTATGACAGTCATGTCGTGGGCCACCCTGTATATCATTGGTCAATGATTTACAAAATTGTGTTTACGGAATAAATTATGTTATATTAATAAATGAATGTAGATCTCACCCACCTTTTACTAAATAATTATTTATTAATTTATTTTCAGGAATGGATCGATATGGAATCCTTATTTTATTGATAAGTGCCGCGTTGCTGGCGGCTTCCGTTTTCCTCTTCCTAGACATCACGTATTATGTCATCCGACGCAGCGCGTCTCGGGTGAAAGCCTACACCACTTTCGTTCTTGCAGTCTACCCGGTAATCACTTGAACTACCATAACACTTGCAACGACGTTGTTGTGCTTATTTTACTAAAGTGATAAAGGTGTTTTTTTTATTTCATTAATTCTTCTAATTAAAGCGAACATGCCCATAAAATTTTTAAATTTTTCAGTTTACGAGCGACTATCGTTTTTTTTTCTTCAAAGAAACTTCTGCAGACTACTATAATATTTACAATTCTAAATAGACAATCGTCGAATTTATTTTTGGTTACGGCAGACAAATAAAATACTCAATACTAGCACTAAGATTTCAAAAACTATGGATGTACTCAGATATAGAGGTCCTGCACATGGCACAAATATAGGAAGTTAGGAAGCAACTATGAAAAAAACTGTGAGGTCCATTAAATTAAAACAATTTAAAACAAATTAAAAACTAAGTAATTCAAAAATCTTAGTTCTGGTCACATCAAAATGTCAAAAAAAAATATTTCAGTGAAAGCTGTTTAATTGAAAAATGCCCAATGGACATGGTGTTTTTTTTAACTTAAAAAACAAGTAAGCTCACTTAGGTAACCGAACATATTTTGTATGAACAAAAAATAAACAAAAACCTTTAAATTTATGTAAGTAAAAATTGAAACGCGCAGTACAACGAATCAAATTTTTGTAAATTACCAAACAAAAATTAATACCTGTGAGCTTAAGTATTATACTGAGAATATTTTTTCTTAACAATAATGATAATTGTTTAAAATTAAAATTGTAATGATAATAAAACACTTTATGAGAAAGGGCATCCTTTGTATAAGATTTTATATTACGTTTTGCTAAACATTTTCTCATGGACAATCATTTTTCGTTGTACACCATCAATTCTTTGTAAGCATTTCTGTCTACAGGTCCTTTTAATTTTTTATTAGGGGTGAATTTGAGTTTGTAGTTTCACGTGAAGTCTTTTGCTTCTGGTTATCGCGTTTATGCTGGTGGTTATCGTGCTTATATAATTCTAGTGTATTGACAACACATGGATGTTCTTAAGATTTTTGGAAAGCATTTTCGTTACATCTGAAAAATCAACTGAATATCTTCTTTTGCAAAGACTTTGGTATTTTTTTCTAATAAATTTGTGTTTGGGCAGATGATCCTTAGTGCAGAATAAAACATTGGAACTTTATTATTTTCATTATCGACTTCTGGAGCATCGTTGGGATCTTTACCTGAATTGGAAACTTACTAAACAGATACGCTATTTAAATAAAAAAAAAATTATTTTATACACCGGACCTAGCAGCGAACACGCATACCATTTGATCATTACGGTACGTTAGAAGAACAAGGATGTAGACTTACTTACTTTTTAGATTGCAAATTTCACACACTGGATTTTAAATTTACAAAAATGAATAAGAATTGGTGTTGAAAAGTAGAGTAGTTTTTACTTTGGCACAATAATTAAACTGTAAAACTTTTTTTCTACTCCCATCTGTAAAATACCTAATTACCCACCGATCTAGCGTGCGGGTAGCGTCACTTTACCACGTCAGTATCCTTTCCGACGAATCCGAGCCACTTCGGACATATCCGGGATTTTACCGCACGGATTTGGAAGCAATCGGATGTTTTCGGAGATATTTCCCACGCTTTGAATTTTGACATTTGTCAGTACTGATGGTCATGTCAGTGAATGTATTCGTGTTGTTTTACGAACATGTACCCAAAAACTAACGGTCGTCGAAAAAGTATAATATGCAACACGTTCGGTGAACTTTTTAACTCACTCATTTATTAAACACTCGTTCCGCTCGTGTCAAATAAACTCGGCGTAAGAATAACAACTTCCCAGCACTCTACCTTTTTACCTTATTTATTCCCTCTTGAAGGGATTTCGTCAACAACAAATTTCCTGCAAAACAGTTTAAGTTTATAATTTCTTCTAGTTCCTTTTTCAGCACAATTTCTGAAATTTTTACTCTTATTTAACACAGACCCAGGAAGAGAATCTAGCATTTCCCGAAATTATTCTTCAAAAAGATCACCATTCATACTTTCATAATACTCTCGAGTCCATTTTGATTGAAATATTAGTAAGCCATCACCGACAAATCCGCTTTTGCTACCAATGTTTGTAACAATATCTTAATTGCCATGTTTTACCGGGTATACCCTTTATTACCCAGTTTCGTCCAGATGATTCTGATGTCCTGTTTTACATTCGAATTGTGTAACTACTCTCAAATACCGGCGCCGCCAATAGATAATTTCGACTTTCTCTATTAAAAGTGATTTTCTCTTTTAAGTTTTTTCGACCATTCATTACTTTCAAAGTTTTCCAGAATTACTTCTTACCTATGAGTGAAATGATGTCATGACGTGCATTTATTCTTCTGATATCAGTCTCCGCATTTACCTACATATACATCCGCATTTATAAGTTTCTTTTCTTCCTGCACTTCTATTTGGTGACGTGAGAGGGTCGCGATTATCCTAGTTCACGAGTCCATGTATTGTTGACTCCAGTCATATTCGAACACGTTTCATCTATTTCAGCAACTCCGAACGTTAAATTTTAGTTGGCTTTGGGCAGAGTGAGAATAATAATTTTCTCATTTTTAGAAGGCGCCATTTTACTAATCCGTTTTTCAGCTAAAAATTCAGAAACGCTAGCCATGCTCAAGAATGAACTTTACGAACAACTGCCAGAAAGTAAATATAATTCCAATTTTATTCACTCTCGGAATTTCTGAAAATCACGAGCAACAGAAACAGAGCACGACACTATATTATTTATATATATTTCAAAACTTTATCTCAAAATTTAAGACATTTAAGTTAAATTATTATAAATTAAAGTTAAATGAGTGGTGACCTGAGTCGCGGTTAAAATTGTTTGGCTGCTTACTAACCAAAATAACCACGATTGAGGTCTTTAACTTTAACCAAATAGTCATGGCCTTGCTTTTGCCGCGAACCCTCCAACACTGTATAAGCAGGTTGCGAGCCAGTTTTAGTTAGCTCTAAAGAAGCCAACAGGATGGTTGGCGAAACGTCAGCAAGTTCTATTCCAGAAGATTTGCAAAATAGTAAAATAGTTTCTGAATTTGTAGCTGAAAAACGGATTAGTAAAATGGCGCCTTCTAAAAATGAGAAAATTATTATTCTCACTGTGCTCAAAGTCCTTCGCCACTAAAATTTAACGTTCGGAGTTGCTGAAATAGATGAAACGTGTTCGAATATGACTGGAGTCAACAATACATGGACTTGTGAACTAGGATAATCGCGACCCTCTCACGTCACCAAATAGAAGGGCAGGAAGAAAAGAAACATAAATGCGGATGTAAAGACTGATATCTGATCACTCATAGGTAAGAAGTAATTCTGGAAAACTTTGAAAGTAATGAATGGTCGAAAAAACTTAAAAGAGAAAATCACTTTTAATAGAGAAAGTCGAAATTATATATTGGCGGCGCCGGTATTTGAGAGTAGTTACACAATTCTAAGGTCAAACAGGACATCAGAATCATCTGGACGAAACTGGATCATAAAGGGTATACCCGGTAAAACATGGCAGTTAAGATATCGTTACTCACATTGGTAACAAAATCGGATTTGTCGGTGATGGCTTACTAATATTTAAATCAAAATGGACTCGAGAGTATCATGAAAGCATGAATGGTGATCTTAAAAATAAAAATTATTCTTACAATCTCCAATCAATCCTAAAGAAATTTAATTGATTTTTGTAATACGATGTACGGTTTTCGCTTGAAAAAATAAAAACTTCTTGTCTGTATGGTCATAACAATATCGTTAATATGACTACACGCAGGGAAATTAGTTTATTATTTTTAAGTGAAAACCGTGCGACGGACTAAAAAAAAAGATCAAATCTGTTCATAAATGAATGCAAATGTCATTATTTTTTTAAGGAATCAGTGGCTGTGTGACTGACTGTCTATGAACAAATAATATTTTGGTTTTGGTGCACTGGTTAAATCGAAAACTTTTTTGTGAAAAATAACATATCTAACTAAAACAAAATATTAAGATTTTAGTTACCAACTAGTGTCCTTCAGAAAAAAAAAATATATTAAAATTTTATTTACTTATGTTTACGTACTTCATGTTCGTACTTCGATTTTTTGAAGTATTAATAAAACAGATAGACAATTACTTAAGTAAATAATAATAATAATTCTCTGCATGCTGTCATATTACATATTGTTATGACCATGCACAGAAGAGATGCGAAAACCGTACATCGGATTAAAAAAAAATATCTTTCGAAATGAATTGTAAGAATAATTTCTATTTTAAGAGAAATCAGTGGCGTACTATCAATGCCTACCAAAATAGACAGGTGAAATCCCGTAGGCTCGCTACTGGTGTATTTTAAAAAAAAATGTGGTACATAGCACATACGTGCCAAATTTCATTAAAATATCGTAGGTTGTATTACAGATACTAAAAAATATATGTATATTTTTGAAAACTTTACCACCCTGTGTCTCAAAACTTGAGACGTTTAGAGCATGTTCATATAAAGTTTTCTTTTTAAAATGGACCCAAAAATCGCCCCATTAATTATTGACATTCGATTAGAAAACATCCTGTATAACCAGGTGCAGAGTAGAATACGAGCCAGTTTCAGTTAAGTTCTGAAGAGGTCAACAGGATGATTGGCAAATCGTCTTCAAGTTCGATTCATCAACAACCGTCGCAGGAGAAATCCAGAAGATTTGTAAAAAGTAATATAGTAGCCTGCCGAAGTTTCTTTAACGTATTATTTTTAGTCCATAGCTTGTAGTTAGAAATATTTACTATACTACTACACTCAAACGCATGAGCATGAGATAATTATTAAACATAACGTAAAAAAGCAAATTTGTGGTATAGCAAGCGGGTTTAAAAGCTTTTATAATGGTCTTTAATTGTAAATTTTTAAAATTTGCAAAAAACAGTAAACAAAAAATTTAAAGGAATTGGGGTCAAAGTTGGTCTAAAAAAATATTAGGCAAACGAGAAAAGTGATTAAGAAAAAATTATTAAAGAACACTATGTAAACTTTAACATTTAATTATGGAGTAGGAGCGACCCTTAAATTATTTGCTCATTTCCGAACTCCCAGTATAGTGTTACAGCAAAATAAAAAAAAAAATCCAGGCAGAGATATGTTGCCTTTTTTTTTATTTTTAAATAAGGGCTAGGCATACATATGACCATTCCGTTAACAAACATACAATTTTATAACTTACCACTCTGAAAAATATTACCTTTTATTTTGGAGTACATCTTATGTATCTTCTATATTAAAATGCGGCTAATACTACGTTTACATTTTTTCTGCAAGCTTTAAGGATAACTGCACCTTCAAATGTTAATGCCATCTTGTACAACTATCAAAATAAACATTTAATACGCTTTTCGTTTTTGATACCACTTCCAATAACTTAAAAAATGAAAACGAAATATTTTTTGTAATTGGTGAATTGTGGAACTCTTTTACACTTGAACACACTGTAATAAATGTATAGGTCACAAGCCTGGTAAGTTTCTTCGCCATTTTGCTGCCAAGAGCCAACCTACTAGCCGAAGCTATAACTCAGGGGGCCTTCATGGCAGGAATGTACAAGCTCTTTTGCCTGTTCATGGCTTATTCAGGTGGCTGCCACCAACTCGCGCAAATGGAGGGCCCGAAAAGGTTAATGCTCAATGTAGGTCCTTGTTGTTGCTGGCCGTGTTGCCATTTGCCTACTTTCAAAATGGACAAGTAACTTATAAACCTAAATTCGTTCCCAAACGATTGTTTTTATTAAATTATATTTCAGAAGAACCTTTATGTTTCTAAGACTGTTGGTTTTTCAATTGCCTGTGGTCCAAAGCCTCATCTATTTGGTATACTTGATCATGTGGGCGGAGCAAGAGGTAACTATTGTCAATATTATTTAAGAATGCATTAACAAGTTTTTTTATTGAACGAGTTTTATTTTTTAGAGCTTGTATTTAGTGAATTACATGTACCTGCAACCCATTGTAATACTCTCTATATTGGTTGGTGTTTGGGGCATGGCGATGGCGATAAATATACTAAAGAACACATTAAATGAGGAATTCAAGCTCTTTGGCAAATTTATAGTTCTCCAATTGGTGTTGGTGTTTTCTAAGTTACAAGGATTCATCACCAGGTGTTTGGTGTGGCAAGACGTCCTACCCTGTGATCCACCCATCATTCCTCAGGTCTACGCCAACTGTAAGTGCTGCAATTTGAAGCTGTTTCTTTTTGTATTTTTTATTTTCAAGAGAGCATATTTTTATATAACGCAAAAAGAAACAGTTCCTCATATTAAAGTTTGATTATTTTTTATAAATTTACAGTGATTCACAACACCCTTATGATGGCTGAAATGGTGATACTAGCTTTCCTGGCCCGCAAACTATATAAGAGAGAATTACCCTGTGTCAATGAAGTTCGCAAAGGAAATGTGAACATAATAAAGAAAACCATCACCACTAATCAATCTTGTGATATTATTGAAAAGGATGTTAAAGAAAGTAGTGCATATGACAATGTAGCTTATGAATAAATTTATTTTTAATGCTTACATACCACTTTTTACATATACATACTAGAAAATTTTGAGGTGGTTAGCAGATTAAACAGCCATGGGCATGGTGAGTTTAGGGTGAGGATTGTAACCTATTAATTCAAAATCTTCTACAGTAAAATCATCGATGCTTTCCACTTTGCGTTTAATTCTGAGATGTGGAAAAGGCCTCGGTTCCCTTGACAGTTGCTCATTTAAAGCTTCAACATGATTTAAGTATACATGACTGTCACCCAAGGTATGAATAAATTCGCCTGGCTAAAAAAATATTGTAAACTTTTACACACATAAACTGACAAGGCTCTTAGTAATGTATTTGTGTAAAGCCCAAATTTTGCAACTGCAGATGGTTCAGCATAAACTTACTTTAAGATTTGTTACATGGGCCACCATATAGATAAGCAATGAATAACTCGCAATGTTGAATGGGACCCCCAAACCCATATCTGCTGAACGCTGATACATTTGACATGACAGCTCTCCATCTGATACAAAAAACTGCAAAAGACAATGGCAAGGTGGCAGAGCCATCTCAGGAATGTCAATTGGATTCCAAGCACACATAATCATTCTTCGATCAGTTGGTTTGGTCTTAATAGTGTTAATAACCTCGGCAAGTTGGTCTATGCCTTTGTTTCTATATTCAGCCCTCATCCCTGCATATTTGGCACCATAGTGCCGCCACTGAAATCCATAAATAGGACCCAAATCACCTTCCTCTCTGTCTTTAAGACCAATAGAGTCTAAAAACTCTCTGGTACTATTTGCATCCCATATGTGCACTCCTTTTTCATTGAGTTCAAATGAATTTGTGCTACCTCGTATAAACCACAACAGTTCTTCAACAACTCCTCTCCAAAATACACGTTTTGTAGTCAGTAGAGGGAAAATACCATCATGCAGGGAATAACGCATTTGTGCTCCAAAAATTGAATAAGTACCAACTCCTGTCCTGTCACTCCTTTTAACTCCCTGAGTTATAATCTGGCGGATGTGATTTAAATACTGATATTCCTCGTGACGACTACTCAAACAATTTATTTCAGTTTTTATATGATTTGTAGATTGGTTTTTCTTTTCTTCATGATTTCCCTTTATGAAGTTCCTAAAAAGCTAATTGTTATAGCCAATCCAATATAAACTGCGATAGTCACATTACCCTGACATGCTTATCTCTTTAAAATTTACTGCAAAAAATTGAAATAATTCGAGCACTAACTTTCTATAAACTTTTTATTAAAAATTAAGTCCTTAAATATATGACATGATTTCACGCACGTTTTACCGCGTTTTCTTCTGCGTTTTATGTAGAATAAGCAAGGGCCCAAGGAAAAGGAAGAATTCACATGCCAGCACAGAAAATTAGAACTACTGTTTAGTAGTCTGTAATGGCAGGTTTTCATTATTTTCTTGTCTATTTACCGCATCTAATACGTGGTTATCCACTTCATATTCAACCTGCATGTTTTAGTCAAAGGAAAAACAAGAAATGACTCTCGTTTCTCATTACCCATTAATTAGTCAAGAGAATATTTCAGTATCTAGTTTTTAAACCTCTATAGTTCAAAAGCACAAGCACTCATCACCAATATATCTTATGGTAATTCCTCGACGGAAGTCGGCAATGGGCGAATGATCATAGCAGTCTGCCCAAGTGTATTGAATTGATTATCCTATGGTTTAAACTCGAACTTGACGGAGGTTGTGGGTTCGATTCCACCGGAAGTCTTGGGTGTTGTGTTTTTCCTCGGTTGCATATCCGAATTGAGATAAGCCCCATTAAGCGTATAGAAAAAAAAAATCTTGATTTGTTTTCGTGCAAAGAAGAAGAGTTGCCCAATAACCTAATCTGTTCTGAATATTTTTAATTTTGAAGAGGGACAGTAAAAGGAAATGACAAAAGACAATAAAAAGGAAAACCAGTTCGTTTATTTTGATTTCGTTTTTAATAACGTTAAAGGTAAAGTGATACTCACACCCCTAATCGGATATATAAAGTGTACTAATTTCAGCGGGGAGGGTGATAATCGAGCTGTTCAGTAACACTGTTCCAAAATCAGCTGAAAATTTTCGAGCCTTGTGTACCGGTGAAAACGGTATAGGCAAACATAACAAACCTTTACACTACAAAGGCACCAAAATACATAGAGGTAAGGCAATTCGCCCAAACTTTATGCTATTGTCTCTGTAATGGTGGGATGTATAGCTTCCATTTCCCTTTTGTGTTCCTTCCGAATCCGTTCTAAAAGTGTGGGTTTCTCTTTCTTTTCATTTCTTTCAGTATAAAGGATATTCTCTAATTGACTTTCATCTTGATTTGTTTCCAAGTCTATTAGAGGTGGGGATTGTATGATTTCTTGTTTGTTATGAACTTCTGAAACAGCAGTTGTCGCTTCCCGCATTGGTTTGAGTTTCTGCTTTAATTCTTGATATAAATTGGCATATGCTTCAGCATCAATTTTGTCTGGTTCTTTTTTTGGTGTGCCTTTCTCACTTGTCTTTACAGTAAAATGGGTTATAGGCTTATCAATTGTTTTTTTTAATTTTTGTCCTTTGAAGTTTTTTGAATGTTCAAAAGATTGTTCTTTGGGTAGCAATCCTTTTGGGCTCGTGCTTCTGTGTTTAGATATATGTTTTTCTCTTTTGTCATATTGTTTTAAACACACACATTGACAACACTTGCACTTACATAAATCAAGTTGTTGGCTTTCTGAATTTAATTTTTGACAACAAGCACAATCATCCTCTGAAGATGAAGATGTGTCCAAAGTAACTTCGCAGCAGCATTTATCTGACACTTCGTTAAACGTTTTAGAGGGGCAACAACATTTACAGCTATTTTCAAAGCACTTCTTCACAGATTCCAAATATTTATTTCTACCTTTATTAGCTCGGCGGAAGTAATTGCGTTTTGATTCACAACAACACAGTTCTTGCTGGATGGTTTCATGACAACAGCATTGACCACATTTGGCAACCTGACAAGACTTTATATGTTGTTCTTGGTTTTGATAATTGCATAAAAATTGGGCAATATCTTCCCTACAATCTTGTATGTTTGTTTCTTTGTTCGGGCATTGTCCCAAAGGTGGACAGTTCGCCCAGTTAAGCATTTGTTGGCAATTGCGCTCAATTGTGGAAGGAGTATCATTGAACTCTACCTGCCATCCACAAGGATTAGACTTCCTCATAGGAGTCTCCATAATGTAAGCCAGTCCAAACTTGCCCTTTGTCTTGAGCTTTTTTTCTGGGCGGCATTCACAATAAAAATCTTCAGTTGGGCACATTTGATGACAAGGGCGGCTACCATGAAAGTTGTTCGTATTGCTTACCGCTTGTGAGCAGTTAGGGGGTTCGCAATTACAATGCATGATTGTTCACTAAAATTTTGACAGTTTTAATGTATGTCATAAATATTTTGAAGGTTGCACAGATCATTTTTTTTTTACTAGCCTCCTATATAAGTCATGAAACATACCCTTTATAATTACTTTCTCATTCTCATTTGGGATCTGAGTCTAACAAAAAAGTTTTAGTTGTTCCACTCTGTCTTGTACAAGGAGGAGACATCATTAATGGGGATGGTTCAGGCGGGGAGAGTATATATGGAGATTACTTTGATGATGAAAATTTGGAATTGACAGTAAGTAATTGTCAGTAATAACTTGTTCTGGTGTGTGACTTATTTCAATCTAGCATAATGTGGAGGGTATTGTGGGTATGTCCAATGATGGCCCGGACAGGAATACTTCACAGTTCTATATCACCACCCAACCCTGCCCGCATTTAGATGAGTCACATGTTATTGTCGGTAAAGTTGTGAAAGGGCTCAACATAATCGTGGAGATGAGTGACATTCCCAAGATCAACGACATTCCCTTAGAGGTATAAAAATATTTTGGGTAAATGTCGCTTCAAGAGGAATCGGTCTTTTTAGGATATCATCATCACTGATTGTGGAGAGATAAAACCTGGAGATCAGTGGAACTATTCCGAAAAGGATGGGACCGATATCTATCCTCCCTGGCCAAATGATTGGGATATCAACCCCACGGCATATGCCTTAGTCGAGAACGCGATAAAAGATATAAACAAATCAGGAAACATTTACTTTCGACGGCAGCACTTTTTCGATGCAGAGCGCAAGTACAAGAAAACTCTGAGATATATTGACTGGTACTTGAATGAGAACAAGAACAACAACAAAGATATCAGAGAGTTTAGAAACATGGTTTTGTTGAATTTGACGGCCGCCAGGCTAAAAGTAAACAAAAATAAAGAGGCCCTGATACACTGTAACGAAGTAATAAAGAATTGCCCAAAGAATGGTAAAGCTTATTACCGCCGTGCAAAAGCTAGATTGGCTCTAAGTGATTATGATGAGGCATTGAAAGATTTGGACAGGGCTTTAGCATTACATCCCAATGACAGCAACGTGAGGGACGTAATAGATGTTGCGAAGAAATTGAAGCTGAAGTATCTGAAGACAGAGCAGAAGTTTTGCGCAAAGTTCTTTAAGGACTAACTTTACCATAACACAAAACTTAAATTTATTGTTAAAAATTGAAGTTTTCTACCTCATATGGTGTATATGTTATAAATGTACAGTAACTTAGAAATATCTATTTTTTTTGTAAATGTAAAACCAGGAATAGATATAAGTACAATATTTTATTGACTAGATTTCATAATAAGCATAAATTTTTAATACATTTTAGACATCTTAATTACACAAATGTAAATCTAACAATTGTTTTCACTTAAACTAAGAATTCGCATTTTTCAAAACACATTATAAGGCATACACATTTATTCCAAATTCAAAACCAAGAGTAAGTAAACTATTGCCTTAGGTTTACTAACTCTCATTTTCAAATACTCTTTCAAGAGGGTGTAAATCTTTCAACTCAAATATTTTTAGAATACATATTTAACAGGTTTTTGAGCTTATTGCATTTGTCTTAAATTGGTGCAGCAAAAATTTATACAGCACACACCACAAAAAGCTTAAAATATAATATTATCACTGGCACTACTGATATCTTTGTGCATTGTCAATCAAGTCTTTTAATTGAACAAAAGCAGTAACTGCAAATACTAAAAACATTTCAAACGAATCGTAAAATGTCATTTTTACTTCGAGAATCGACGTATTGACCGAAAAAGTTAATTTACTTTGCTTTTTTCTGTGGTTGCCTAATGTATCATTGAGCGATTTCCGGCAGGTTTACCTGAACGTAATTTTGTTAGATTTAATAAACTTACGTCTGAGGTGATAAGGTGGCGTCAGATTGATGGCCTAAACTAAAGGCCAGAACTGACAAAAGAAGAATAGGGCAGGAGACAACGATTTTTTTGATTTTCGTATTGACGCTTCTACATACAGGGTTATTTTTTGTATTTGCATACCCATACAGGGGTCAACGGGAGTCACTGACAAAAACTTTTAATACAAAAGTTGTACAATGTTTGCAGTATTACCTTTTACACTTGTAAAAGGAAACAAATGCGTATCGCAAAGTTAGTTTAAATTTCTTATTAACTAAACAGATATTGATCGAGTTGGCTAGACTTTCAGTGTGACGTATTGCGTCACTTTACTTTAAATCCAAATATTCAGTTAGTAAAATTATTTTTACTGATTTAGCAACCTTCTCGACGGCAGGTATGTTTAATCCGCCAGTTTAATCAACCAGTAAAAATACAGGGTCGTAGATCGGTTCCTGTTTGGTGTGGCATGCTGACCAACCAAATAGTCGGACCGATTTTTCTTGATGGAAACCAAAACCGACTATACAATGACGGACCTCAAAATATACGAGTGCTAAGCCAAAGAATTGAACAAGAAATATTCATGCTCAAGAAAGATCATTCAGATATTATTTTGAATGCGACTTATAAAATAAGAAATAATATTAGCAAATCGTTGGGATATATAGAAAACACAACCATTTACTTCGCGTTACATTTTCATTATTGTTCGTTTAATTACGTTGTTATCGGTTTTATTATCGTTTTTTGTTATTGATATTATGTTTAGATTTTTTAAAAATGCTATTGGTCAATTAACACTTGTTGAAATAAAAAAGCTTTTCTTACTCAATTTGCGGAGCGCCAGGCCAACTTGAATAACATCTGTTTAGATAATAAAAATTTTAAACTTAAATAATTCAAGAACAGCTTATTCAACTATCAACAATCTATAAGATCTTCGTCATAACAGAAAATATATAGCGTGTTCCATTTAAAAATAAAAGGCTTGCTAATATTGCTCAACTTTGCCATGCGCAGTTGTTTTCTTTTACAAGTCTAAAGGACAATACTGGGAAAATTATACAACTTTTAAGAAAACAATAATTTCCGTTAGTCCCTGCAGGTGGGTACGCGAATATAAAAAATAACCCTGTACAATGTCGCCGATTTATTATGGGATCACATCTTATCTTAGAACCTATAAGCAAAATCAAAAACTTTAAGACAAAAGATGTTTGGATTCACTGACAACTTTAAAATATTAGATTTTTATGTATACAGGATGTTTGTGTTTGTGGACATTCAACAACTTTCTTATTTTAAATAGAACGTCCTGTAGATTGATCCATTTATGAATTCTAAACACGTTTCATATTCAATACCCAAACTTAAGTCTTCCCGTTTCTGACTTATTTTAAATTTTAATTTAAAAGTGACGTTTGCAGGTTTAAATACAACTTGTGTTGCTTTCGCGAAATTGATGAAATAATTTTTTTTGCGAAAGTATACGCGCTTCTCACTAAACTCTAATTCTCTGTTAACGGTTGGTCCTACTGAACCGCCGTTAGTACAGCACGAATCAGCGTCGAAAATATTTTTTTTGTCTGTTATCCGTTCTCTATTTAATAATTAAATTATTAATTAATTAATAATAATAATTAGAAAACCATGCTTCAGTTTTCAGATTCTTTCACATGGCCATCTAGCCCGAATAGATAGCTAAAACTGTTGTATTTAAGCTTTTCACATATTGTACAGGGTGTTCGAGATATTCTGTATTATAATAAAAAATGTAATAGGTGTTTCAAATTTGCACTTCAAATTCTGAAGAAAAGTAAAAGTCCACACCTACATCTAAACTGTAGAAAGTGGGCACATTCACTCAGGCCAAGTATTTTTGAAAATTTTTGTTAGGTTAGTGGCTACCAGAAAAGAAAAATATTTTCTCGAAAACTATTAAACCGATCGGCAAAATCGACTATTTCAAGCATTTTTTTTATTATATACAGGGTTTTTCAATTGTAGGCAAAAGTCTAAGAGACCCTGAAAATTGTTCTTTTCGAAAGTAAATTATTAGCCGTAAAACAAAATTTGTCGTTCATGGGCAAAAAATCTAAAAGATCCGCCAAATCTCCATTTGATAATTTGGTTGAAACAGTATCGTAAAGTGCGCAGAGAGCTACACTTTTCTATTTACAGTTTTCCTCCATCATGGTCGCGAGATATTTGACAAAATATCAATGGAAATAGCTACTACTTGTACAAATTTTTAAACTTCAGCGACCCTGAAATTCTTTATACAGGGCGTAGGCTCAATGAAATACGGCTTTTTAGGACAAGAAGCCGCGCAGCGATGAGATTGCGAAGCAATCTTATATTTGGAATTGATTTCCTTGTAAAGAAGGATCTATTTTAGTGGCCTATGTCGATACTTTATAAATAAATAAATAGAGAGTGGTTAAAATATTTGCAATAAAAAGTTTTTCATTTATAAAAATGCTATGGACCATGCAAAACATGACAAAAAGAAAAAATAATCTAGCACTAAAGAAATATTATTTAATCTTATAAATCGTGTCCAGTAATTAAGTTATTAAAACGAAAGTTATATAAATTTATTGAATTTCTAAGAATGGAACAAATTTTATCAATAACATTTTCCCCAAGAATTTTAAAATTTACTCAAACAGGATATACAACATTATGGTATATAGGATTTCCCTTTTGAGGCATACATGTATAACTTTAGTATTTTAATAAAAATAAATCGAAAAAATCAATACCATAAAAAAACTAAGTTAGGTGGTACAAAACCTTTAAACACAGATTTACAAAATCACAGGAAGTCAGTGACGACGTCCCAGTAGAGCTCGATTCTTTTTTTTCGCCATAGTTAACCAACTCATAACAAAATACAAAAACATTTTATTAACAATATTTCGAAATCTTCAACATTTTGAAATATGGAGTCTTTTAAAAAGTCGTTCCTTTTTTTTATTGCTTAATAGAACAAATTCATAAAATTTGGTGTGTTGTGTGTGTCCATATGAAAAAAAAAAAAGACTTGTAATGTGCGAGTAATTTCGAAATGGGACAGCACGTGGAGATTTCTATTGTTCGACCATTGCGGAGACGCCTCCCAGCAGTGGCGTGTCTCTATTTTGTGTTCTCATTTGTGCGTGTTTATTTGATACTTCTCTGTTGGTTGATTTTTAATATTTTGTAATTGATTATTCTCATATCTCCACACAATTTGTAAAAATATGACTTCTGCAATCGGTCACGTGATTGTCGTATTCTAAAATTCCGTTCATTCTAACGATTTTACCATTAAAATTTTTAACGCTAGTTTTTGACTTCATGAAATTTCTTCAACTCTCCATTGAGCTCGATATTTAGCCATTCTTACTGATTGTGGTTGATGTTTTTAGCAGTTAGTTGTGTTGCCAGATCTAAGTATCTTGATGGAATTCTTCCGCGACTTCTCTTTCCTTGCGCCATGCCTTTCAGAGTTAGTTTATCAAAAATCCATGTCTGACTAAGTGAATAATTCTTCTTTCAGTTCAAGACAAGACACCACCAATACATCTGTTTTGGTATTGCCAGTCTACTATTATCTTGGTCTGCATTTTGGCTAATTTTAAGACCGGCTTCCATGCATTTTCCTGCTACAATCTGTATCAGTTGTTGAAGTTCATTTTCATCCCCAGCGTACTGCAGGTTGTAAATTTTGATACCTTAATCACTTCTTTCTCTAAGGCATGCCTTATAGTCCATTAATCATATATATTGAAGAACATAGGACTTAGTATGCATCCTTGTCTATCAATGCTTTTTGAGCTCGTCTACTACGCGGACCTAGCTGTGGCTTTGCTTTGGTAGAAGTTTTTTATTATGGATATCGAAGTATGTCGATTTCCTCTAAGACTTGATTTGTGCCAGTGTGCTCAAATGAACGCATTAGTTGTTCAATGTTGGGGACGTAAGTTGGTAGGTTGAATTCTCTGCCTTTTTCTGATACGTCCGAGTTTAAAAACTTGTTCCCTGGTCCCACTTCGTGGAATTTGCCTATTCAGATAGACCACCAAATTAGATCTTATTCTACATGTGAATCAACTCCAAATACATAACAAAAGTATTCAGTTGAAGAAATCCATATAGCTATTACAGAGACATAGAGGCGCTGCCTATGCCCACAGAACAGAAATTTATGAAGCAACTATGAAAAAATTTCATTTAAAATGCGCATGCGCGAGATTTGAAATCTCGCTTGACCATGCGGCATTCCTCAACTAACATGGCATCTGACAGAATAAGTATATTTGGAAATCCTAATTGAATCTAAACAGGTTGTGCCTGTAAGTTTTTTTGATATATTGTGCAGGTTCCAAGATAAGGTGTCATCCTATGATAAACGGACCACCCTATACTATGTGGACATTTTGCTGGCTGAAATTAAAAACAAACCAGGGCTAACCTATCACAGGATGTAGGTTACATTCAACATTTTTTTGCTTACTAAATGTTACTTGGGTCGGCTTGCTTGCTTTAGCTTACTTAAATATAACTAACCGCAGAAGAAATCGCCTATTATGTTTAACAACCATGGAACTTGGCATCAATCGCTGCCTGTCCATCAAAGGCAAAAGGTAGCTTACCTTTGGTTAAGTAGCTTAAATTGACAGGAACTACTGTCAACTAGACGTTTTTGCATTCAATTCATTTAAATACAACATATAAAAAGAATAAATGGAAAACATCAAAATGTTACTCACTGATAGTTATGGCATAAAACAATGCAAACTGCTAAGGCTCGTGGTTCTGGTGTAATGTGGAATGTTAATTTATTGCAAATGGACAAGATGACACTTTATCCATCATAGACATTTGTTCTAGTTTGGAGTCCATTTGTACCAAATAGTAAATAGTCTTTGAGTTCCATTTATCTGAGACACCATATTGTATTAAACCTCTAAATCACTTTGTTCAGGATTTAACTTAATCCAATGGGTTTTATTGACAGGTAAATTGCCACCGGCGCTAAGACTTTTCTTAGAGAGCAATCAGTCATTCAATAGCTCAGTCGCCTGCCAATAAGGCCACGGTACTCCCTGCCTCATACATACTGGAATGTTTCTTTGGTGCAAATCAGGGGCTCTCTTTCGATGTTTTTGTCGATATCATAGTTGCTCATCCAGTCTTGGCTCTCTGACTTAAAGACCCCGAAACAGGTACACTCGAAAAATTCCATCAGGTTTCTAATAGGGCCCTTAGTGAAGGGGCTCTTTCCACCATTAGCTACAAAGTGACTGTAACGGCCCTTGTTCATCCTCTCATTGGTTGTCATGCCCAGAAAGGTTATCTAAATATGGGAAAGTAGCTCAACAACTGACATTAACAGGTTAAACGGTTATAATTGTCATGGTCACTTACTTGGTATAGCTGACAAATGAGAAGCATGAAAACCCAAATACTATGGAAGAATGCATTAAGGGCTACCCAGGCCACCCAAGTGTCACACTGGCCAATAGCTATAATAGTCGCCCAAAATCCCTTGTTTGACTCATCCAGGGCTTTACATGTGGGATCATTCTGCCAGTATTGTATTGAACCATACAGTAACTGACCACACATCAGCACTAAATTAGCTAAGAATCCAATAAAATATTTATGATTTTTGGCGCCTGAAAGAGTATTCAATTTTGAATGAAGTGAGAAACTAGTGAGGTGTGGTAACCTTACCAATACAGTTAGCTACCCAAGGGCAATGGTGGTCAAATCTTGCGACACAATGATTACAAGCTGCACAATGCTTAGAACGCAGAGGTCTTCTCACCAGACAGGCTGAACAAAAATTTGAAGGTTCAAACCCACCTGGACCTCTCTCTGCCAATTCTAAAATAGTCTAAAACAGATAATTTTGAAGTGTGCAAATTTTAATTTTATAATAAACCTACTCTAAACTGAAGTTGCTGACTACTTGTTACAACCCCAGAATCACCAAGCCAGCTTTTCAAGAAGCAGTACCATAGCATACCAGAACTGCTCACAAATACAACTGTCATAGTAATGCTAGTGTATGGAGCTATGTAAATAAACCAAGTGAAGTACATCCACATTTTGGTGGACAGATAAATGCTTAGGGGCAATAGAGCCATCAGTCGATCATCATACAACACCTGACCTAGAATACTGTTAAATTAGATGGTTATGGTAGATATACTCCGTTTCACTTGCCTATATAATGTATAACTATGTACAAACACACTAGGAGAAATATTTTTATAAGCATCAACAAATTGGTGCCAATAATTGCTCCTGCCATATAGAACGCAAGAAAAGGAGTTCCTACCATTACCCACCATCTGATGCGCTGCAAATAAGTCATGTAGGGGAAAAAATGGAAAATTTGTAGGTTTCTACCTTATCCCGGGCAAATTTGTACAAACAGTTTCTTGAACTGACAATTTTGGATTGTTCTTTTATAAGGTCTGCCACTTTTGGGCTCACCCATATAGATCCTATTTGGGATTGCAACATGGACAGTGGTGTGTCACCACTATTGTTTGGAACATTAATATTGGCTTGACCCTAAAAATTCCAATTTAAGCTAAAACTAGCAGAGGTTATGGTAAGATAAATATTGTCCTAGATTTGAAATTTTACATTTGAATTATCTTTCTAACATACTTGCAGAATTAGGGTGGTTATAGCAGTGGTATTTCTTGCCAAAATTGCCCAATGCAGAGCTGTATTGCCTTGTAAGTCTGTACAATTAGGAGAAGCCCCTAGTGTTAACAACAGTCGTGTAGGATCCAGACTGGATATTTTCCAAACAGCCCACATAAGTGGTGTCATTCCAGTTCGATCAACCAGATCAGGACTGACACCCCTAGCAACAAAATAAGCTACCTAGAACAAAATAGTCATCAAATTATATTGCAATAGGGAAACAAAAATTACTAAAGCAGTGTGTCCAAACTGGGCTGCCAAGTGTATGCAGGTGCATCCTTCGGCATCTCGCAGAGTGGGATTTGCTCCTGCATTCATCAAAATAACTGTTGCCTCCAAATGCCCTTGACGGGTAGCCCAATGCAATGGAGTGGCTTGTAATTCACCACCTATAGCGTCAACTTTAGCTCCTTTGTCTAAAACCAAATTTTTGTGCCGGGAGGAAGGATACTTCCAATGTAAAACTCACCAATAAAAAACTTCATGATATCTTTCCTATTATTAATAGCAGCCCAGTGAAGTAGAGTGACATTCTCGCTGTCTCTTTGGTTTACATTATAGCCCGCATCAACGAGCTCCTTAACTCTTAGGAAAGCTCCATACTATAAAAAAACGGCATTGTTACAAATTTTGTAAATAAATTTTTTAAAAACTTGTCTTCCACTTTATTTATTTAATTCTTAGGTCAATATTGTAAGCAGTTTAAGTTCAAACAATACACATTACCTGGGTGGCTTTGACGATATCAAATCCTATATAATCGTGTTCGGTAGTTGGGACCATGGGTTCCTTTGAAATTAAACTGTGGCATTCGCGTTCGGTCTCGACACAGCCCCCAGCGCTGGCGGCCGCAGCGCCGCAGGCGTTTTGATACATTTCGTCCGGTTCCGCTTCCTCTGTGACAAAACTAGAAATTATGGTATCATTATCATAGAATAATATCAATCATTATAATTGCTCTGACAGCTCGAGTCAGGTTAGGAGCACGTTTTGTTCTTCGTCATTTCGTTATAAATAAAAATTGGGTTCAACTATTCGCCCAAACTGGGGGAAATTTGTTTTATCTATTTTATTGTTTGTATTAAATAATTCAATTTGTTGTTCAAAGTGTGAATGATTAATAGAAATTGGACAGTTTGGTCAGTTTGTAATTACAGCAAAACAAATATCAGAAGTAATAATAAATTTTTTATTTCTTCACATCGAATAACAAAAACGGAACAATAAAAATAGAAAACAATAACAATTTCGCACGACGGTAACTGTAAAAGTCCCTAAATACACCCGCCAGCGTCTCAGTGTTTGTCGCTTTTCTTGTGGCCCCATTTCTTGTGGTCTTCGTGACCTCCCTTCTTGCCGTATTTGTGGCCGTGATGGTAGTGCTCGTCGTGTCCACCGGCCTTCTTGTGGCCAGCTTCTTCGTGGTGGTGTCCTCCTTTCTCGCTGTGACCTTTCTTGCCGTAGTGGTCTTCGTGGTGACCTCCTTTCTTGTGACCTCCCTTTTTGTGACCACCCTTCTTGTAACCATCTTCATGGTGGAATCCTCCGTGCTTCTCGTGGTGGCCGGAGTCGTGGTCTTCATCGAAGAAGTGTTTCTCCTTCTTGTACTCGTCCAATTTGTGCACGTCGTGTCCTCCCTTTGTGCTGTGGCCCTTCTTGTACGATCCTTTCTCGCCATATTTGTGTCCCTTCTCGCCTTTTTCGCCCTTGTGGTGTTCGGCGTGGTATCCGTCGTCGTGGTGGTGTTTCTTCTTGTGGCCGCCATGCTCTTCGTAATGATGCTTGTGACCTTCCTTGTCGTGATGGCCTTTGGCGCCTTTCTCGTGGTGATGATGTCCCTTGTATCCTTTGTCTCCTTTGTCACCGTGTTCGGAATGGTGGTCGGAGTGATGATGTTTGCCGCCCCCTTTGTCCCATTTGTGGCCGTGATGAGACGCAGCCTCTTCCAAATCGGCTACGACTTCCGCTTCCCGTCGCTCCCTGGAAATTTCCCGAGCTTGGGAGTACGAAACGGCCACCAAGGCGAGCAAAGAGATCACCAGAATCGCTCTGAGTACGTTCATGTTGAAACGACGACGGCTCGATACTGATGTGGTTCAATGCGGTGGCAGCTTTTATATCAAAATCCAATTTGGTTTTTGCCAATGGTGAAATTGGCTTTTGATCTGTAACGTTTATTAACAAACTATTATTGTCTATTGCATCTTGCGGTAAGTGACTTTCACTTACCGCTGATGTAATGTCGCGGCAACGGCCAACATTCGTTCGGGATTTGCTCAAAGAATTTGTTTTAGGGTTTTTTTTGCTCTGTTGGTTTAATCAAATTTGAACGAGATGTATACCGGGCGTGGCGTTTTTGCTCGCCGAGTTAAACAATCCGTGCAGAATCGATTACGTGTTTAATTCGGGTCGCCCGATATGTGGGTTAGCGATTTTTCATACCTCTTGATCGTTTCTAAGGCAATGCCAGAGGAATTCGCGTCAAACCAAGTACAGCTTTTGGTTTGCAAATGGCCCCTGCCTACAGTAACCCTTGTTCTCACTTATAAGAGGATAAATAAAGGCAAGACTTCTATCGCCTCGTTGGTTCCACATTGGTAGATATATTTTAAGTCAGTCCTCCCCGAGCTGCAACGTCTAACATGGTCTTTAAAGCGTCAAAAGTTGAAAACGCTTCACGATCCAACATTAGAGGTGACGTAGGTATTTCACTTAGATAGATTTTAATTCCCTTAGGTTTGTGTATTAAGTTCACTCGATGTGTGTTTGCATCTAATTGCAAATGAATTTGCATCCAACCAAGTGTAATTTTTAGATCTGAAATATCGTCCTAATAGTTAAATAGTTAATAGATAAAGGCACGGTGTTGCCGAAACAGCTGTCATTTAAATATATTTATGTGAAAATCTGAACAACGTTTGTTCTTATTTAACTATTCTAATAGTTTCTAAATAGATGAAAATCCAAAAAAGACAACTTTGTTTACTTATACGGTAATGGAATAACTGCTGCCCTCCTTGAAAGACAATGATTTTCTTATTACTTTTGATATTTTTGTCTGTTTGTACAAAACATGCACTTTTTCCAATAACTGAGAATTTATTGCATTTTATTGCCAAGTAAAGACAAAGTTCGACAGGGCAGGTGTTTGTTAGTTTATTACATTACAACGGGCCCGACTCAGGTAGTTTACCTTTTTCTTATATATGGATACATTCATAGAATTTTGTCGGAAAGTGCATCCTGTATGGTTAAGGCAGCACGAAATTTAAAAATATTGTATTCTAACGTAGTTCATCTTACTCGTTTGTCCAAAGTGTCCAAATACTCAACTATCACCAGTAATAACTCGAGAACTTTGAATTAATTAAAGAAGTTATCCAAGATCTAAACCACTTATCTTTTGCCGCTCTAATAAATGCCAAAACTCTTTTTTCTAACCCAACAGTGAAAGAAAATTTAATATTTTTAAAAGCAAATTATTCTTTTGTACCCATGGCGTTCACAAAATTGGATTTTACATCTGTTTCTTTGACAGATTCAATGGTTTTAATAAATCAATTTGAGGTAGATTGGCAAAAAGTGTCAGGCACTACTGGGGATGCGGTTCTAAATTTATATCAGTAATTGAAAATAACACAAGCATCAAAACAATTTTCTTCTGGGAAATATTGAAAAACATTTAGTTACCAATTGTTTTTGTGAGTATCAACGTGTGTCTGTGAATAAAAAACTTTTATTGTGATTTTTTTATTTCATTTCATTTTATATCTATACCACAGATCTATTAAAACAGGCCTGTGGTATAAATAAAAAATTATAGGATTTCTGAAGAGTTCAATTATAACGAAATAGTTCTGGATATTTAAACATAATTTTTCATATAATAAACATGCATATTATTATTAATAGTGAGGAGTTGCATTTGCAATAAGGGAATTCTGCGTTGGTTTCAAACATAGGCTTTTTTTTTTAATTGTTCAAATTTAAAACATTTTGTATCATTTGTGTTCGTTGTTATCAATTCTACAAAATTAATTAACATCTTGGTTAGGCTCTAGAACCGTAAAACAAGGGTTTAAGTTTAACATTATTGCCAAAATTTAAACGTCATATGGTACGACATATTGTCTATTGTACGGCATTGATTTTTGAAATATGCCGTACGTATGTGGCTTAGTTACTAGTTATCAAATAAAAATTAAATGGCGCAGGGTATTCGAATAGCGATTTTCTTTGTCCAACTTGCTTACGAAATTAATTTGCAGTTTCTTTATCGTGGACAATAACCTCGTTGATTATAGCCATTTTTAAAAATTTATTCGGTACTGATATACTTCCACTTGAAATTTGAAATCACTCACTGTCGATACCTCGTTACAAACTCTGCATTAAATAATATAAAAAAAGATATTTCCGTGGTTACACGATGGTTTTTAAATAAATAGAACCAACCCCATGTAAAAATTAGTCGAAATTTATCGACTTAATATAGAAAATATAAAATAACAAAAAAAAACCGTTAAAACGGATATAGGTAAATATAATAATAATAATAATAATAATAACGGTTTATTGTCTAACAGACAGATTCTGTAATATTTTCGAAACACCAATTTTGCATAAAACTACGCATGATTATATTTGATACGAATAAAAACTATTTAACATGGATATGAGACAACACCAGACTAGAAAGAAACAACTAGGTACTTTAAGTATTTTCGCTGGATCCTTTCGAATTTGTGTAAACCGTAAATGTAAGACCAAATTATAGAAGCATAGCTAAATTTAGACTTAACTAGGCAATCATATAACCTTTTTAGACGCTTCAGACTCTTGGGTAGTGCGGAAAATGAAACCGAGGTTGCTGATTGCTGACTTGGCTATGTGCATGTTGAAATTTAGATCCTTATTAACATACACTCCAGGGTTCTTCGCCATCCCACTGTCTAGTAGAGAAGTATCATCAATACGATACAAGCAGGAAATTAGATTTAGTTTTCTAGAAGATCTAATGTTATAAAATTTTTGAATATTAAGTAGAGACCATTCTCCACTCACAATGATGACAGTGTAGTTATGTCATTCTGCAGAGCCTTGCAGTCGTCCAGTGTACAATTTGATTTGAAATATTTGAGCCTGTATCATTAATGAAAGAGAAATGGCGTTACATCACTACCCTGAGAGCACCAATGGTAGCGGTGAATTTAAAAGACTTGAAGCCATTATGCTCGAAGAATAGTGAACGCTCTGATAAGTATGACCTGAAAAACCCAATCAGATTGAGGACATCTTACTCAGCAAAATGTAATTTGTTACTTAGGCCAATTTGGACCAACTAAAAGAAACAGGCAAGATTTGTAACCGTGGATCAATGCGTGTAGACACCATGCCGTTGTGTTCAGATGATACTTTTCACCTGAGGAACTAAGAATTCATACACGGTCATATCAAACACCTTAGCGAAATTACTTAAGATAGGGCCTATAATTAGTTATAAAGGATTTGTCGCCTGATTTAAACACAAGACAAAGTCTGGTAGTTTTCCAGAGCTTTACAAATAATAATATGCTTATTCAGTCGATAGCGATAATTATAAATTAAAAATAATACCTACATCACATTCAAAGTATATCTAAAAAACAAAAAAATGAAAATTCTCCCTAAAACCTATAAGTTGTGTATCATATTTCATAAATCTACCCTGTCACATATAGCAGAAAGTGGCATTAATAAATATTTACAGGAATTTCTAAATAATTTATGTAAAATACAAAGCCTAACCCACATAATATAAAAATTATAAAAGAAAGAAGTATGACTTTGAATTTGATAATGAAAACAAACAAATCCTCCATGGAAATCGTTCTCTATTTTTTTTTGTTATTTACAGATAGAATAAATTTAATAAGATGTTTTTTTACAGATTTTCTTTTCCTCTATTTCTTGTATTGTAAGAATGATTTATATTTTGTAGTTCGGTTTTGTTTTTGAAAGTATTTGAAACCGACGTTCTAAAAAATAATTGCCGTATCGTAAAACATTTCGAATCCCTCGACTAAACAGTTGTATAGAAGAGTAATTTTTAGTCTTTTGAACAAAACGATTTTTAGGAAATATTTTTGTATAATTTCCAATTTTTTAGGATATATCCAAGGCATTAAGGTATATCCAGTACCCTTCCCCATATCAAAATACCACATTGCAATCGTGACTGCACTAATGCAAATTAAAGTGTTAACATATGATGTTTATTCAAAATGTTTGAATTTGTAAATCAGTGGCTTTAGCATATTTTCTACTGTTTGTAAGTGTGTGCTTAATTGTAATTTTCTGTGGTTTTTCGTTGAAAATAATTACTTTTTGTTGCCTGTACAAGTCGGTTTAAGTGATTTTTTTAATTAACTTTATTTTTTGCTGCCTCTTTTGGTGTAAAATTTTTGTCTCTAATATAAGGGTGCACATTTTTTTCTATCTGATTCAATACTAATCGAATTTAATTTATATATTGAATTGGGTAGGTTGATATTAGTGCTAAAAAACAAAAATTTTAATAAATTATCATGTCTTTAAAAAAAATCTATTAATATTGTAAAACTAACTCCAGCTACAATAAAAGACTAAAAAGCAAATATCTTTAACTAGCTAATTTAATAAAAAAAACATTGCAGGCAACGCTTTCATACAAACTCTTATGAAGACATAAAAAATATATATCTTCATCGTTACATACCAATGTAGCGATTTTCGAAAAAAGTATATTCGTTGTCATATATTGACATTTAAAATACCTTAATTTTCGATTGACTATGAATATATACGTACTGGTAGACCCGTAAAAGTTCAGTTTCAAGAAAATCTCTTAATATTTCAGCTAAAAAAAAATTGGATGCTCTATCTCACAGGACATTCAGACACGTACCCGTGTTGCTTATCGTAAAACAAATGACAAAGATCGATAAAATGATATTTCAATTTTGAGAGAATGATAACGGCGATGACTAAATACCACTTATTTTTTATTGATAATTTAAATATTTTTCCGGCATTAGCAAATATGTAGAGC